GGGTTATCAGTTTTTCATCTTATTACTGATCATGGATTTACCTATGAGCCAACTTCAGGGGTTTTAGTTATGGATCCACTGACACAGTTTACTCAATAAGAAATATAATCGAAGATTAGCTCCAAAATTTGAGAACATCTGGATCAGTGACGCTCGAGGTGCATAAGACCAGCTGGCACTCTCAGCTGGCAGTGTCACGAAAGAAGTTTTCTCCAGTGATGGGCACGCTGTTGAAGAAAAGTAGCTCCACAATCACTAATTCGCTGAAAAAATATGCAATCATTTCATAGGTTTAATGAAATTAGCTTCCTATCATTAGGATACTTACTGCGTTGAATTTCCAGTGTAAATTGATTAAGAATTTATTCCGCATCGAATGCGCTCGTTTCAGTTGTATCACCTCGAACGTTCCTTATTGAATATTGTCATTTCAAGAATGAACTTCTTCTCAGAGCGTGCTATTGATACAATGAAACTGCTGCAAGGAAAGTACGGCGTTGTCACGGGTAAACTCGTTAATAATTGAAATACTAACTAGTTTTTTGTTTAGCAATGCTATTCACATAGGTATTACATGGAAATTTCATAATCTAACGCTTCGAAATTGGAATATTTTAAGGAGGTGGAAGTGGCATCGGTCGTGCCATCTGCCATCGGTTAGCTGAACATGGAGCGAGCATTATGGTGGTTGACAAAAATGAGAAAAGTGCGGAACAGGTTTATAAATCACTCGTCATTAAGAGCAAAGGTAATAACCACTTCGTTACCATGCTTGCAACTCAACGCAGCTGTTCACTCTTGTTATTTTCATTCAGTGATGTGGAGCGCAACACAATCTTATCACGTTCTTAAGGAATATTGAATGACCTTTCAGCCCGAAATACGCGCATCATTAAGTCTACCGGAAAATAGTTATATTGCCGTTGATCACGCGTCATTTGATCGCACAATCATTTGATTAAGTGATTTAATGCGCTAGTAAACTGCTTATTTCATGGTTAGACGGTACCTTTTTGCAGTATGATGATCGCATGATTCACTCGAAAGCTGGTACTCTTTTATTGTCAGGGGATTTGTGTTAGATCATAGAGGAAATGCTACAGTGCTATTCACTTTTGCTTATTTTAAATGATTTGCATGTTCAGGTGAATCAAAACATTCATGGTTCAAGTGCGATGTTTCGCGAAGTAATCAAGTAAAGTCTCTGGTTGAGTTCACAACCGAACGATTCGGTAATACACCAAATATAATTGTCAATTCAGCTGGAACAATCAATGATTCATTATTAGTGAACATGACTGAAGGACAGTTTAGCAACGTAATCGATGTTAATCTCAAAGGAACATTTTTGGTAAGATCACATATTTTCCATTCATTAGAATTCATGACCAGAACAGCAGTCTTTCTTTCAGATATATTACCTCATTACCAACGTTGTGTATCGATGACAAATGAAAGAAGGTGGTACACTAACATCCAAGAAAAAATATGAATTCGAAAATTAAAACAGGGGTCCCTATAGGGAAGGAAAGTACCCATTTTTGCGTATCTTGGGGTGCCAGGGGATAATGGAAGGGATCGGGAAATTAGTTCTGACGTTGTGACTGGAATTAGTGAATCATTGTAGCGGTAGGGGAAGGGAAGGTAATAATGGTCTGCCAGACCATCGAAAGAGGTAGTGGGAACTACTAGTATAGAGTTGGTATGGAGTTTGAGGGTGTAAAAAATCGTTCAGCTGTATGACATACCTACTTTAATTTAATTGACCTGTATGTAATGGAAGTATGCAAAATCGCTCGACAACATATATAGTCTTCTGAAACTTGAGAACCTCCTGAAGTCGATTTTGAAAAGAACTCACGGGTTGCTGAGTAAACTTGAGGATACAGCTAGTTTGAATCTATTACTGATGATAGCGCTGTAGT